TTTTCTCCTATGTTTTAATTCCTTTTAGTAAACCTGGGAAAAAAGAGGCATTCATTCTGGACTTCAGTAAAGACTTCTAGAAAACACAGAAAAAGAGAACCTTTAACTAAGTAACCATCAACTTTTCACCCAGCTCCTTAACAGGCTAAGAGTGAAGACTATGTGCTAAAGCAGACCTGATCCCGGGACCTTGGATCGTCTCTTACTAGTTATAAAATTCTTCATCTATCAGAGTCTCAGTTTACCCTTCTGTAAAAATGGAGATAATAACTCTTTCCATTTTGGGACTGAGAATATTAAAGGAAATATCATATTGAGAATGTCTGATACCTAATGAGTGTCCACAGGTGAGTCAGACACCTTACTGCCTTAAAGTAGAACCCAGAGAGGCCCTGAGAGAAACAGGAGTTCTCCGTCCTTCTTACTGAAAGCCTCTGTCTGAGAACCCTGCCTCTTCCATGAATGACAGACAGTGAGAATATATTCAGAGAACACTCATCTACATACTGGACCATTTCCTATATATTAAATTGACTTCTCCTTTCAGGATATGAACCAATAAGGCCCACTTAGCACAAAAGAGACACACATAGATAGGGTACGTTTTATTACAGCACCTCCCAGCCCATAATCATGCTTGGTCTAGAACACTTCCCACCCTATTTACTGGACACAGGCCTCAAGGACAGACACTGTGTCTGCTTCTCCTTTATGTATCATTTTTTCCAAAAATACTGGTATAGCAATTGAGGTTGCAATTAGCCAGGGGAAAAAAAAGGTAAAATATTTATGAATCTTAATAAAGAATTTACTTTCCTGCCTAAGTGGAGCATTCTGTATCTGATCAAGCCATCTGAAGTGTGTGAGGATGACACAGAACCACCAGGGTCTCATTATCAACAGCAGTTCTCCCTGCCTGATAAGGTCACCAGAGAAGAAAACCGCACTGAAGCTGTATTAACCATGGGATAGCTCTGAATGCTGTTTAGACTAAAGCCCTGAAATTCTATTATTTTCTTGTCATTTGCCTCTCCTGAGGGCTAAGAAGAATCACAGTGGATTGTGAGTTGGAGTTCCATAGTCCAAGTTGATTAAGGTTTTGAAACCTACATTTCATTCATCTGCCTTTCTCTCAGTCAAGGCTGATTGAAAGCAGCCATGAGGGACCTGCAGGTTTCCACCCTCTTAGAGCCTAACTGTCTCCCATGATTCTCGAAGCATTATCTTACTTCTGTTCTAAAGAGAGAAAGAGTTTTCTCCATAGGATTTTAATTGATTTAGATGAGAAATTGGTATTCAACACAAAGTCCAGATATGCACGCAGTGAGACAGATCAACATGTCACTTACTTCATTCAGCTGTAATTTAATTATGGGCAGAAATTCTTTCCAGTTGTGTGTTTCCCATAGCCCTTGATGTTTAGCATGTAAGGATAACTTTATTTTCAAATATTTTCAAGAGAAGCTTCTGAAAAATCAGGCTTGGAAAAAACTGAGGTGTTTGCAGGAAATCCCTTCTGAGGTATGAGTAGCCCCATCCTTAACATATACACCTTTTAGTCAACAAGTATTAGTCAAAGCCTATTATGCAGATGGCACCACGCTGGGTTATGAGAGCACAGGGCAAGCAGGACCCTGCTCCATGAGGGAGCTTATATTTCAATTAAGAAGCAACACTAAAACATTGTTTACACTAATAAATTATGATAAGAAATTATGATAAATATCGTGAAAAAAAGAACAAGGAATACAAGAGAAATTGGTTTAGCTCTGCATGATTAGGGATAGTAATTCAAGGAAGAGACATTCAAATTAGGATTTAAAAGATGAGGAGGTATTGGGCTGACGTGGCATAGAAGATGCTTTAGAATAAAAGAATACTGTGAGCAAAAGGTGGCATTCCTAAGGTAGAAATGAACAAATCCAGGGCCAGAAGATCAGTGTGGCTAAAGCAGAATGAGGGCAGACAGTCACTCCCATGCAGTGGTGACATTAGGGATTTGGGCCCTTATCCTAAAAGCAATGGGAAACCGTGAAAGGGCTTCCAGGGAATGAGCAGCATCATTAGCTTTGGGTTTCGTTAGTTTATTTTGAGACAGAGTCTCCCTCTGTCAACCAGGCTGGAGTACAATGGTGCAATCTCAGCTCACTGCAACCTCTGCCTCCTGGGTTCAAGCGATTCTCCTGCCTCAGCCTCCTGAGTAGCTGGGACTACAGGTGCGTGCCACTACACCTGGCTAATTTTTGTATTTTTAGTAGAGACGGGGTTTCACCATGTTGGCCAGGCTGTTCTTGCACTCTTAACCTCAAATGATTCACCCACCTCGGCCTCCTAAAGTGCTGGAATTATAGCCATGAGCCACCACGCCCAGCCTAACTTTGTATTTTTTAAATGATCATTTTGGCTACTGTGTGGTGAATAGGCTGGAGAGAAGCAAGAGAGGTTTCCGGGAGGCCAGCTAGGAGGCATTGCTGTAATCTAGGAGAATAATCTACATGTGCTCCCAAGCACCAGGCCATCGAAGGAAAACACTATTCAACTGTTGAAATCTTTTGAAAAACTGATAACTCTTCCACCTGTGGGAGGAAAATTCAATTCAACTCGACTCTTCCTACTAGAGCTTCAGGAACTACTTGGGGAGGAGCTCCATGCTGCCTATTAGACCAGAGCTAAGTGACCAGCTGACAGAGTTTCCGGAGTCAACCTCCATTCTGGAGACCCAGTCTCCACAGAATCCCCCTGTTAGGGCTTGGGTAGCCAGCTACAGGCTGTCTCCAGTCACTACCGGCAGGGCAGACACTGCCCAGTGAGTTGAACACAGCTCTTGCCTTTCAGTGAGTGAAGAGACAGTGGGCAGAGGAGGAAGAGGCATGAGCAGAGAGAGAAGTTAGAGTCAGACACTAAGATGAAGCCATGTGTGAGCCCGTGACCTTGCACAGCTGCTACCCTCGTGTGCACCAGTTTCTTCACCTTACTGCAAACTGGGACTAACAGACCTGCCTCATAGGATTTTGTGAGGATTAATTTAAAGTAAATAAGTTAGTACATATAAAGCATTATTTAGTACAAAACCTGGCCCCGAGAAGTCCTCAGTAATGGAAGACTGCCAGGGAATTTGGACCCAGGCTCAGGTTTGAATCCCAACTCTACTATTTAGTCTTTGTGACTTTGTAAATGAAGTTAATAAAATTCTCTGGGTCTCAGTTTCCTCAAATGTTCAAATGGGGATAATAAAACCTACTGGAAAAGGTGGTCATGGAGATTAAATTAGTTAATGCGATTCACTTTTACTTCTGTCTCCACTTCCCCATAAAGAGGTGTCTATGAGCAGCCTTTTCTCGAAGCCAGAGGAGGAGCTGCCAAGGCAGTGAGCAGAGGGAACTGAAGTGAGACAAACATGAGAGCAGATCAGAGGACTTAGAGGCAGGCAGGCAACACCCTCACTCCATACTGCTTCTGTCTGCACAGAGGAGACGATTATTCAGGGTGAAGCTGAATCATTCTGCCAGATCTCCCTGGGGAGAGACTAATTAGCATTTAAAGAGATGCTGGAAATGCATATTGCTGATAAGGTAAAACCTTGCCACCCAGAACGCTGCACTAAAAATGTGCATCCTGCTCTGACAAGCAAAGAAAGGAAACCTTCACAAATCACTTTCCTGTTTTTCAACTGAGGAAGGGTGGCTTGCGCTGATTGCGCCAGCTCCAGACTTGTCAGGGAAATGCAGGCTTGCTCCGGACAGGGCACTTTGTTTGCTGATTCAACACCGTCAGGGAACACCCACTATGTGCCAGGCACCTTGCTGCAGATGAGGGAGACATGATGTAAACCTCGAGGAATTCGCAAGGGTGAGGGGAGACAGCACAGTGTGGTGTGGTGTAGTAAGGGCCTTGGGGGCAGTACGCTGAGCTGCAGCAGCCCCGACATAGTGGAGACTTTGACGGGGAGCATTTGAGCTGTAAATGATACTAATAGTAGGAGAAGAAAAGGCAACATGGGCATTCAGAGCTTGGCATCACATAAGCATCATCTCTGAGTCAAGAAGAAAGGCAATGCAAGTGGAAAAGCAGTGTAGGCAAATGCAGAGAGGTGTGGAAGGTGACCTCCACCTGAGCTGGGCCATAAAACATCCCCAAAATGAAAAGTCACCTTGCAAATCAGAATGGGAGGAAGAGTAGCGAGAGAGTTTCATGCCCAGGAAGGTTAGGAATGAGATAAATCCAAGGAATGGCAGAGCCGGAGGGGTCCATAAACTAACTGGTCATTCTCTCAAATGAGGAAGAACTTGGAATCAGAGAGGTAAGGACACATACTCAGTATTACACAGCCCTAAGTGACAGAGCCAGGACTGGAAACCAGATTTCCTCTTTACCACTTGGGCCTGGATTCCTTCCTCTGCACTAAAGCAAGGGTCCTCGCGGCAAAGACATTCAGTCAGGCCAACAAACTGGGAGTTGTACTGTGCACTAACAGCCCTGAGTCAACAATACCCTCTAGACCTTTTGTTCATATCAAGGCCTGGGAGACAGAGAAAGGTTGGAACGCAAGCCCAGACTCACTCAGGACCCAAACTGCCAACCAACTTCCAAAGGAAAAGGAGAGGCTTAAACAATACTTCCTATTGGGACCAATCTAAGTATCCAATACTAGCCAAGTGATTAAATAAATAATAAAAAATCCATTCAATTGAGTGTTCCTCAGCTATCAAATTTTTTACAAATGTAGTAACATTAAAATACCTATTAAATAATAATAAAATGAGACATCAACCATTAAAAATATATTAATACTAGCTAAAAGGCAAAAATAGAATAAAAACCAGTAAAAACAAACCAAAAATGTTGGTAAATGGCTGTTTTTCTAAATAATGATAAAAGTGATTTTAAAACTTTAATTAGCTTTTTCAAATTATCTTTAACTAGCTTATTATACCTGTATAATACTAAGTTATACTCAACATATATTCATAAATCACTATGTATAGAAAAAGGCATGTAAATTATATTTCTCGTTTCATGCTCTTTCATTGAAAAGAGCAGACTAGCTATGTTTAAGGTCAGCTAAGCCAATGGGCAATCAGTGTGCATCTATCTACCTATGTGCCCACCATCGTGCCACATACTATAGAATATAGAAAAAAAATAGAAGATACAGAACTGTACTCAAAAATCTTAGAGAAATAAGATTGGCACAAGTGCAGAGTCTGGTGTACAGTAGATCTCCCTTAAATAACTCATTGCATGAATGAAGATAGGTTCATGTGCAGGATTGTCAGCATCCTCCTTCCATCTACTCAAGGGAATAGTCTGGAACTTCTTTTCCAAGACTCTCTTTCTAGTATGGTTCTGGGTCAGTTCTGTCAAGGAGAGGCTCTTGAAAGAGCTTTGGAAGTCCAAAGTGAAGTCGTTACTTCCCAGGGACAGCTGTTTGCAGGCATGTGGGCATTGGTGGAAGGCAGATGTTTAGACTATCACCCTGAGAATCACCCTTTTTGGTGGTGCAGAATGTTGAATCACCAATTATATCTCTTATCACCTCTGGGTAGCCTCCTGAGAATTACTCACCTTGGAGAGGTGGCTGCTGAGATCAGTAGAACAGCTTCGCTGAGACCTCTGTACTTAGTAGTTTTCTGAAAGCAGAAATCTCCATCTTCCAGTGGCCATGGAAATCTCAAATTCCCTGTATTAAGCCTCTTCCTACTTGAAATACCTAGAGTAGCTTCTGTTCTAACCAAATCCTAATATGGACTGCATATAATGAACTGCAAGACTGAGTGGACCCTGCTATTCCACAAGGAATAGGAATGCTGGCAAAGTCTGAATCATGTGGGGGTCCATTCTGAGCCAGATGAACCAACCAGATGAGTGGATTACTTATGTGTGGATGAATAACTGTCCTTCCTGCTGACGTCATTTAACTATCCCCTCAATCCTTGCCTCACTCATTTAAGCTTCTTTCTCAAAAGTGTCTGCCTCTCTGCCATTAGAAAAGCTAAGAAAATCATGCACAGGCTTTTTTTTTAATTAATGCTAATAAATATTGATTCTCCCCAGGAGAATCTCATTTGGGCAAATTAACAGTTTGGTTTCCTGGCAGTGGCAGCCCATGTCCTGCAATAAGCCTAAAGGAAATCCTTACCAAGTCATTGAGACATCTCTAGCATAGGAACCCTATTTCCTGGGATCTCTTGCAGATGAATCCAGCCCCCAGCATCCACGGGGGCCATGGAAGAGTCACACAAAGCCCACTCTGGCCTGGCAAATTCACTCAAAACCAAGGGCAGTTGGGCCATCTCATTCATATGGATTACCCATCCATTCAATCCACTTGTGTTAAATATATAGAGACATGATGGCAGCAAGCCATGGTCCCTATCCTTGAGGAACTCAGCTATTCTAAGGTAACAACAAATGCTAACATTGTAATCATAGAAGGATGCTTCTTTTAGTGTCAAATGGTATTTTAACCTAAGTGCTGTTATAAAAATATAACTATTAATAAAAGCCAAGTGACTCGAGGTCGACTGTCGAATAGAGGTAATTTTATTTCCAGGAAGGAAACATCCAGCAGACAGGTGAGGTTCTGAAAGAAGAGGTTTGGGGAAAAGAAAATGGAATTGGTCTTTTAAAGCCAGTTGGTTCTAATAATTTTTTAAACTACAAGTCTCTCTGTCCCATTTAGGAAAGCAAAGCTTCTGAACACTGCGTACTGCTGGTGACACTAGGAGTTACCCCTCAGTGTTTAAGTGCCAAGATGGCTGCTGTGGTCGCTACTGTGTACAGACGCATCCACCTGGAGACTGGCTTCTAGCTGCTTTTGCTCCCTACCTTGAGTCATCTAATTTGGGATGGCTCCCAGTTGTCATTTTATCAAATGTCAGGTCGCATGATTGGCAACAGTTTAGATAGCTTATTAACAGAGTAACAACATAATTTATCACCCCAATCAGGACATCGTTTAAAGAATATGCTGCTGGTAACTACAATAAAATAATGCAAGAGCTGGAACCCAAGACAGCCCCAAGGAGGACAGCCACCTATCTAAAGGAGAAGCAGAGGACATACATGTGTTGAGCTTCCGTGTGACATTCTACCAGCCATTTACATCTTCCTTCTCTCGTTTAATTCTGATAACAACTATAAGATGTAGATGTTACTTATTCTAATGTTACAAATAAAGACCTATGGATCAGTTAATTAATGCATGAAGGAAGGCCTTCCAAAGGAGGTGACTCAATGGGAAAAGAAAGAATGGGTAGGACCTTTAAGGAAACAGAGGAAAACAAATGATTGTGTTCAGCTAAAGGGAAGTGGTAAGAACCCATAGCGCATGGCTCAGGGGGCCTAACCTTTCCCTTCCACTCAGTGCTTCACAGGGGCTGCCATCCGCAACTCAGAAATTCCAGCCACTGTCAGGAAGGTAATATTCCTGCTGACCTCAACCAAAGGAAATGGGTCAGGAGCAGGAATATTACCCTTGGTGGACCAACAATAATCTTCCAAGACTTCTTCCAAATCTGTTTTTCTAAACCTTCATTCAGCTAAGGTTGCTAAATTGACAGCATGTGAGTGGAGGCTGCAAGGGCATTTGCCACCATGTCAAGAAGGCCTGTTTGTGACTCAAGCCAAAGTGAAGGAGACACAGAGACACCTGGAAAGAAACAGGGACAGAAAGAGCACGGGAAGGACACGGCTTGAAGCCTAGACCCAGGCATGCCTGCAATTTAGAATTATACATCCTGGGATTTTCAATTACATAAACCAATAATTTCATTTTCTTGTCTAAATTCAAGGTGTATCCAAAATATGCCTGTAGCGCTCAAAAGACTGTCAGGAGGTATCAAATTTGGAGATGCCATCATGGGAATTGAATCTCAGGAGTGAATGTCATGGTCAATGGCGGGTATATGGATAAAAAAGTGGTAAGCCTGCCCTTTGTGGGGTACACCATACATAACCAGGCCTGTAGGGAGAACAGCAAGGGGAACTCAGGCAATGTGACTGAGAAAGAGCCATCAAAGACGCAGAGGGAAAATAAGGAAAGAGTTTATGCCATTGCTGAAGGAGGATTGCATCAAAGAAGAGATCGCTCAGCAGGGCCAAACACCACAGAAAAGGGAAAGAAATTATCATGTTTTAGGAAAATTGGGAAAACACCCCTTTCCCTCATCACTCATGTCAGGGCTATAAGGGTAGAGTAAGAAATTGCTATAAGATGAGTCAAAGTGTAATTGGCAGCCAAAGGCCAAATTCTCTGGCCATTTCTGCTTCCATCTTACTTGACACCTAACTGTCTCTCATCATGTTGATGAGTCCTTCTCACCATGTTGATGAGTCTCTTCTCTCTGTTTCAGTGCTGTCACTGTCTCCCTCTCTCCTTACTTCTTGTTCCTACCTTCTCAGTGTTCTTCAGTGATACCTCATTTCAAACCAACCTCTTAAATCTTCATTTTTCTCAGGGATCAAAGGCTCTCTTCCTACCATACACTTTCCTTGGCCATGTCATTCATTTACGGGCTCTGCAAAAGCCCATGACTGGTAAGTTCCTAATATGATTTCAGGGTCCTAAATCCACACTTCTAGGATGGGGGCCGCTAAAGCTGTTCAATACAAGAAGGGAATCCTTTCCTCTGAACAGACTTCAAATATGTCCACAGAAGATTATGAACAAAGACGACCTCCCCTGAAAGGAGAACCAGGGACCACCACAGCCACCTACAGATGTGCGTGCTGAGCACTGCACGAGACCACCTAGAGGAATGGCAAGCTCAGGCTGAAATCCAACCTGTCATCTGCTCACCACGCCCTCTGCTGCAGCACTGCATGCACCCGGGAGAAGGGTTGTTGTTTCCTTATAAGCACAAAGACTGCTTGCCAAAGCCTTGCACCAGCAGAACAATGACCACCCAGAGGGTTACCCTTTTCTAAATTATATAAAAATGAGGAATGGACCAACAGTGGCCCTGGGAACCCAAGAAACAATGGATAAGGGAAATACTTAGGGAAAGCAGAACTAGGGGCTGACAGAGAAACTTAGTCCTCTATAATGTCAAGCAGTCTTCAGAAACCCTATCAAGAGGACTGATCATTGTTTCAGAGGAGCTCAGATGCCTTCCATAGTTGGGACCAAAAGCCTACTGGCATTCTCCGGTGCTTTGTCCGCTGCCTCTGGCCCCAACAGAAACCATCTGTGGTCATATACACATCCAGCTCAAATGGGCACCCCTGGTCCATGACCTGTAGGGTTTGTGCCGATGAACGGACTGCCTGGCTGCCAGGAAGGCAGTCTCAGCCATATCATCCCAATCCCAGGTAGCTCCTTCTTTGTTAACCGATACAGCAATTTTATCCTTTGAGCTAAATGGGACACAAATGTCCACCAATATCCCGGGAGGCTCACTAAAGTTTGCAGCTGTCTCAGTGCAGTGGACTGGGGATATGCCTGAATTTTGTCAATAATGGCTTCTGATATGGCCTTTATCTTACCTGACCAGATAACTCCAAATAATCTGGCAGATAATCCAGGCCCTTGAACCTTGGATTTGCTGACGGCCCAACCACATGCTGCCAAATGTTGCCGCGAGAGGGGCGCCACGTCTTCTAAATCTGCAAGAGAATCAGAGGTTAACATAACATCATTAATATAACAGAATAGGCAGACCCTTTCTGGACACTGCCAGGAGGCTAAATCTACGGAAACAAGACAAGACATATGGTGGGCGTAGGCACACACCCCTGCAGCAACACTGTCAAAGTCCATTGTCGCCTTTCCCACGTGAAGGCGAACCGTTCCTGGCTCTCTGGAGTGATGTTCGTGGAGAGAAGTGCATTGGTCAAGTCCACTACATAATGATATTGTGCCAGTTTCATGGTCAAATGATCCATTAAATGCACGATTGACAGTACAGCTGCATGCAAAGGGGATGTTACTTTACTCAGTTCCCAACAGTCCACCATCGTCTGCCAAGTTCCATCAGGCTTTCAAATTGGCCACACTGGAGAATTGTAGGGGCTGTGAAGACCACATACTATCTGCACCTCCTCCAGCTTTTTAATTGTCTCAGTTATCGCCATATGCCCACCCACCAAATGGTATTGATGTGTGGAAGTAACCTGTTGGGGCTGTAGCACAACCTGAGGCTGGTGACGCATATGTCCGCACAGTGCCAGCTTCACCACATGCACTGGGAGTCTGAACTCCCCGGCCATGGTTTGTAATGCCAGGCCATGTAAAATGTACACCCCCAGAATGTATTCTGGTATGGGAGAGACATATACAGTATATAAACGGGGAGCCAAGTGGCCAATGCTGAGGCACATACAGGTCTCACTTTCACTGGCCGGCCTCCATAAGCATCAATGTTTGCAGCTTTGCCCAGGGAAACTTATCTGAGTTCCCACTAACAAGGCTACAAGCTGTGTCAGTATCTACCAGCACCAATACCCACTGTACCCTGGTGAGGGACCAGTGGATTGCTAATTCCACATGTGGCCTCCAGTCCTCCCATGTCTTCCCAAGCCAGGCATCTCAGCCAGTTACCTAATTAAACAGAAGAGGCTCAGCATTCCCACCTGGCTGCAGTGAGTAACTTCTGAGTTGGAATCAATGCCCAGGCAGGACAGGGCTGTGCAGCAATGTCCTTCTACCTCTTGGACATTTTCTGAAATTGCTGCCCCAGAGATAACCTTCTCCACAAAGTTAAGACTATTTCACTGGGCTGCTTATTGATTTTCTCTCAGTCAACCCTGGCCAAAACCAAATCTCTTCACACCAGTAAACATGTTACTCACTGGGGCCCCCTTTTTTCCCATGGGGGAGCCCCCTGCAGGTGGGGCAGCTTCCCCTTCTTTATGGCACAGAAGAATCTAGGTCCCACCAATGGCCTTCTGCTTCCCTGAGAGCCACTATAGCAGTAGTCATTTCATGTATGTGGCACCCTACATAAAGGGTGAAGACAGCAGCCAAGGATCCAGAGGCACTCGGGGGCACAGATCTCAACACAAAATCCCTCAACTGGAGGTGAAACATTCATCATTGCCCCCAGGTATTCATGTCAAACATAGCCTGACGCATAGCCATCTCCCAGATGACTTGCACCAAACTGGCATATGACTGCCACTTACTCACAGTTTCACATAGTCGGTATGGCTGCCCACAGCCACTCAATCAGGGTGTGGTCACCTTGCCCTGCCCTTAACTGCCGCCTCACTTGCAACCACTGACAGAGCGAGGGATGAGTCTGGATGGTGGCCAGCTTTTCCATCTCAGAGGCAGAACAAGAAATACTATCTGCTCCCTCATTTCACAAATGAAGCAATCAGGCAGGCAGGGTTCCCCTGGACGCTGCTGGCCCTGCTTGCCTAATTCCTGCAACTCAGTTGTGGCAGAGGCACCACATGAAATGTGTTGTGTTACGGTGGGCCATCCCTGAGCCCACCCTTGGGGGTCCCCCACCCTTCTGATGGATCACTGAGCGACCCCGCTAGTGGAGGGTGCCACATACATGATCCCTTCTGATGGATCACTGGGCGAGCCCACCCTTGGGGGTCCCCCACCCTTCTGATGGATCACTGGGTGACCCCTCCTCGGTATCAGACCGAGTAGGGGGTCTCTGGCTGAGTCGACGATGACCCAGTCCTGCATTCATGGCAGCCTCTAATTCTTTTTCCAAGCTCTAAAGCCGGGCCTCCAAGTGCCCCACCTGAACCTGGAGGTCCCCATTCACTGCAGCCTCTAACTCTTTTCCTGATCTGTGTAGCCAGACCTCCAGGCACCCTGCCTGCGCCTAGAGGTCCCTCAGCTGTGCTGCTTTCCTCAGGGACAGAGGGTGTACTTTTCGTAGCACAGTCAAAAACACCCATCCAATTCTGCCGGCAAAGCCTCCCTCCTTCTCAGTGCTGCGTGCTTCCAGTGGCTTCAGCACCGTCTCCATGTTTGCCGGAGACCCGTCTACCCACACCCTGGTTTCCATCGAAGCCCATCCGAGCAGCACAGCTGCCACTAAAACCCACTTTGCAATCACATAGCCAGCCGGGCATCAGCAGGGCCAAAGGCTCACTCACCTCAGGATCCTGTTCATGACACCAGTTATCAGGTTCTATACCAAACTGAGGTCCAAGGGAAGTCGGTGGGCGGGTGGCGGGTAGCTGGAAAAACACTGGAGGAATTGTAGGCAGCTTTGACATAGCTCTGTTCCCCTTCTGGGCGCAACCCCTAGGCCCAGCGTTAGCAGGGTAATTAAACCTTTTGTAGACAATACTGGCTCTGAGTGAAGCACGAGCTCACGTGACTGGTCACCTAATGCGCCTCACATGGTGTGGTGACATAATGTGCGGAGTTGCTCACCTGAGCTCCAAGCCCACTGAATCCCGCGATGCCGCTTCGCCTATTCCTCACTCAAGTGCAGTCATTTCTGTTACATTGTGTAAATAGAAGTCATTGGGTAGGACTTAAAAGGAAGGTAGACAGCTGCAAGCATAGCACTTTTCTTTTTTTAAAAAAAACCTTCCACCTTTTTTCCTGCTTTCCGCCTGAAATGTAAAGATGATGACTGGTGCTCTAACAGCAATATTTGATTATAAGACAAACCCAAGGTGGAGGATACATACTAAAACTGTGGGGTAGAAAGATAGATAGGTCCCGGAAAACACCACGATACCCACGCACAGGCCCATTAAGGCGAAGCTCAATATATTTCCGTTTTGTTTCAGCCATTGTTGCTTCTGGTCTTTGACAATAAAGTTTCTTCTAGTAACTAAATGTAATTTCTAACAAACACACTACGAATATGTATCAGATCCTCATATTTCTTTATCAATAGTTCAGATCTCTCCTAATAATTCCAGAGCTGTCCTCTTGCTGGATGTGCCAGCTGCCTCAATGGCAACATTCTAGAAATCAAACTCATTATCACGTTGCCCACCCCAACCCTCCATCTCCCACTGAGTCTGTTCCTCAGCTTAAGAGGTGGTGGATAAGGAACAAAGAGCTGACAAGCAACGAGCTCTGGGACTTAAGAAGAGGGACATGTATCACAACTGCCCACTTGGTGTTAAGGGAAGAAGGACTCCCAGCCACAGATCGGGGCCTTTCCTGGACCAAAACTCCACCAGAGATTCATCACAGGTGCAACTTCTTCTAAACTGAGGGTCTAATGATATGTAAATACCCATCATGAACAGGGGAAGCAGTAACGAAAGCCCAAGCTGGCTCTCAGGAAGTCCCAGGTGTTTTTTATGAGAGTGTTAGAAGTATGATCCGAAGCCGAGTGTGATGGCTTACACCTGTATTCCCAGCACTTTGAGAGGCTGAGGCAGGAGGATCACCTGAGCCCAGGAGTTTGAGATCAGCCCAGGCAACAAAGAAAGACCCTGTCTCTACAAAAGTAAAAAAATGAACCAGGCATGGTGGCACGTGCTTGTAGCTCCAGTTACTGAAGATGCTAAAGCAGGAGGCTCACTTGGGCCTGGGAGGTCAAGGCTGCAGCGAGCCATAATTGTGTCACTGCATTCCAGCCTGAGCAACAGAGCGAGACCCTGTCTCAAAAAGGAGGAGTAGGGGATGAACCAGTTACTACTACTGAAAATATTTTATCAAGAAATGACCCCGGATGAAATATTGGAGATATCTATCTCTCAGGCAAGGTGGCAGCCAGGAAATAGCCATGTTTTCAGATGTGTTGGGTCTGAGTAATAATGCATGTATATGTGAGTATGTCATGGTCTGTATGTGTGTGTGGTGAGTTTGTGCGATGTGTGCAGTGTAAATGTGTACATACATCTGTGCATATGCAGGTACCTGCTGTGTGTGGACTGTGAGGGTGTGGGGGGAAGCAGTGAGTAGAGTGGCAAAGGGCTGCCTCTCCATAATGGAGTAGCTAATACTGTGAGCATTTCTCCTTTACCAAGCACCTTCCTGTCCATGTGCTCATTTGGGCCTCACAAAAGTTTATAAGGTAGGGATTCATATTGCTTCTGTTTCTCAGTTGAAGGGACTGAAGCACAGACAGGTTGATTCCAGCTAGAAAGAACATCCTGCACAAAGGAACCACAATGCTGGGCTTTCTACACCAGGCCTGTGCAAATGGAGGAAAAGGGAGGGGAGACAGCACCACCTACATCAAGAAGTTACGCCCATTTGTCCATTTCATGCTCCTGCCTCCTATTCATGCACTTTCCAATTTATTCATTCATTCATTCATTTTCATTTATTCCATATCAAACTTGGATTTGGTCTCTCTTGCATGTCAGACCAGCTGACCTTGACTGTGTGTGGGAGAAACAAGGTGAGAGGCCTGGGTACTCATGAGTGGCACTCACAGGGCGAAACTGACCCAAGTGGGAAGTGAGTGAAGGAAGGGAAACTAGAGAGAGTGGGCAGAATTTAAATTGTGAATACATCCCAAGCTTTCTTTTCTTTACATTCAGGCTCTCCATGATTGAATTTCAGAACCTTAGAGTTTATGATGTTCGAAATGCCTTCTAAAATTAGCACGCACAGCCCTGCAGTTTCTGCAACATGCTCTCCTTATTAACAATACCTGCCCTTCTCCAGCACCACCCACATTTCCAGAGCCCTGCTCCAGCTAGGAAGGAGCAGGGAGTTACAAGGCCTGGTTCTACTTCAGATCTGTCAGGAGAGAACTTTGGACAAGACTCACCCACCGGGACTCCATTTATCCCAAGTCAAGTCAGCCAGCGGGTGCAGCTGTTCCCTCAGGGATCTGGAGAACACTGAATCAAACTCTGCATGTGGGGACATCGCGGGCATCGGTGCCAAGCCTGTGTGCCAGGCCTGTGAGCCTCTGACCTGGTCACCATTGCTCCTTGTTTTTGACTCCCAAGTACTTGCACAGCTCTTCATTAGACCAACACATCTTCCCCTCAAGACAGGCATCTATTCCCACTCCATTCAAAAAG